TGTAGTCATTTCCTCACGTTAAAGCTTGTGTGGACATTTCCGGTTGAGCAGATGCGCGCTACTTTTCATTATGTGTAATCATGTTTAAAGGAACTAATACAGTTTAAAGGAACTACAGGTTAAAGGAACTAATACAGTTTAAAGGAACTACAGGTTAAAGGAACTAATACAGTTTAAAGAACTAATACAGTTTAAAGGAACTACAGGTTAAAGGAACTAATACAGTTTAAAGGAACTACAGGTTAAAGGAACTAATACAGATTAAAGGAGCTACAGGTTAAAGGAACTAATACAGATTAAAGGAGCTACAGGTTAAAGGAACTAATACAGATTAAAGGAACTACAGGTTAAAGGAACTAATACAGATTAAAGGAACTACAGGTTAAAGGAACTGATACAGGTTAAAGGAACTAATGCAGATTAAAGGAACTAATACAGATTAAGGAAACTAATGAAAATTAAGCGGGGTATTCGTCACATTGATAAACAGTGTTATGTTTGCCGTGTATATACGCGAAATCGCTTGACCTTTACTTCCGGTGCTACCAGAAGGTCGAAATTAGGTGAAATCAAAATACCAACTTGAACCCTGGTCCAAAGATACATTTTGTGACATCATCGTGACGTCACCAGTATCAAATTACAACGATTTAAGGTCAAAACGTGAATAGTTACTTTGAACTATAACTGATCAAATGAAGTGCCGTTGTCATTGTTTGTGATCGGTTAGACAGTGCCTCGGGCAATATTTTGGATTCCCGGGCACAAAGCCTTTTGACGTTTACTTCCGGTGTTACCGAAAGTGCAATGGAACTTGAATATAACTCGAAAACGAAAATATCTTACTGCAGACGAACAAATCACGGAAGTGTCAAGCGAGAAAAGTGAAACGCAAAAAACAGCATGATGGCGTCATCTCCTAAAAGGGCGCCCTCTAGGGGAACATAAAAGACATTCAACAAAAATTGAATTTGAAAACCATGTGTCAAAATTTTACCATATCGCCCCTACATATTCTTTGGACAAACAAAAATTACCCTGCGTGGTTTCAGAATAATTACATTATTAGACCAGAAGTCAATTTAGGGAGAATTTGAAAATGATCAGTTTTCTTTCCTTCAGTTTCAGAATTCAATCCATTATTGGATGCGTGTCTACAAACTATGTTTGTAGCATACTGACATTTGGGCTTCCAAATTCTGTACGTGACGTCATTAAACCGGAGGTTGGATGTTATTAGTACATCAATTAAAAATTCCTTATAATTTCTATATTTTCACAAGTTTTTTTTTTCACTTGATGATGAATATGTATAAATCACTGAACTAAATCAATATTCACTTTGAACAGTGTAACTGATGACGTAATCACACCGAAAATGCCATGAATACGTGTAACCTGTATACTGAAATGTACCAAACCCAAAGGATGTATTTTATTTTCAAATTAAAAGAAATGGTTCCACGGGAAAGGCTGAATTTTGTGATCCTTTTTCTGTTTCGTCTTCAGAATATTCACAACTGGGTGAATGTCAAATGAAACAGTTTTCTAACCTATCACATATAGTTTGTAACTCAACAAACACAAATCTCTAGTTTATTCTTGATTTGTGACGTTGAAAACACAACTCATCCCCCGACCCCTCCCTCCTCCCGAGATTCCTCTTACTAAACTGGTGTCCCCTGACTCCCCTCCCTATATCTTGAATAGAAATTGCCATCGTTCGTGCGTACCAGACTAATACACCAAGGGTTACGCGTACTCTGTGATAAAAAGTACAAAGCTGCTTCGAATTGTTCATGTTGCTTTCGCGCTTCAGTGAACTAGACATTGAAAATGTTAATGGTATTTCATTGGGTTTTTTTTTCATCGATGCTTAACTGACATTTTGAGGGAGAAGACAAGGAAGAGAGACGGCAGTTAATTGGTTTGCCTCCTTTTGTGTATTTTCACGGAGTTGCTGCGTTGTAACATTAATGATAGCTGTTAACAATCATTTGGACCCTATTTGCAGCATAAATAAAAGTAATATACGGACAGATAGGCCTCGCCAATGAAGCATTTTCAAGATGCTAATGAAATAGAGGCCATAACGTCACCCAAGTTTTGTTATAATTCTGCGTTGGCACAAAATTGAATGGTTTTGTTGGGTGATCGGGTACGACCCGATCACCGTTTTGGTGTGATGTGAATAATCTGACAATCTTCTTGTGTGATCGGGCACACAGCCCCGAGCCCGATCGCAGTTTTAACAAGTGCGAGTGCACAATTAGCGTTGGCCGTCTCGCATGAAAGTCTAAGTTGAACGAAATCTATCAAAATGATCCCTGCCAGAGCTTAAAAATGCGACGCCCAACAGTGCGACGCCGATGGCACATATGGAACACCATACTTATAAAATAAATACCTAGATTTATAGCGATTTGTAATAAATATCACGTGACTAGAACATAACTGCACAAACATGTATTTTGCCTCCATTTACATTGAAACAACATCGGTGTTCCGAAAACCGTTAACAAGAGTGTATTTTATGACGACAGCATTTGGTCAATTGGTCAATTAATTTGGGTCAGTATTTTGGGGTCAATTTTTTGGGTTAAATATTTTGGGGTAAATTTTTTGGGGTCATTTTTTTATTGTCATTTTTTGGGGGTCAATTTTCGGAGACAGACAGACAGACAGATAGACTGACCGACCGACCACCAAGTGCAGGTAGAAGCTCTAGCCGAAACTTTAAAAATGGTTCAAATTATTAATTGGCTTTTTTCGCATAGTTTCGGTAAAGCCTTCGTTTTTTTGTTCTGATTTTTGGATAAGCCTTTGTTTTCGTTCAGATTGTTTTTCTTTTCCGCATAGTTGCGGCGTGTTTTCGCACATGAAAAAACAAGGTTCGTACTTTGTGATCTGATAAACCCATATGGATAAACCATACATTGATGAACTGTTTTTTGACGTGAGTTCGCTTGACCTTTACTTCCGGGGTTTCCAGATGGTCAAAGTTAGGTGAATTCTAAATGCCAACAGAAACCTTTTCTTCCAAACAATTCTTGGGATGACGATAAAATAGCTGGTATGAGCTTAAACCCTGGTCCTAAGATGCGAAAAAAAATATGACGTCATCATAACGTCGTCAAGTATCAAATGCTAGCGATTTAAGGTCAAAATTTGAAAAAAAAAGATACCTTGAATCAATCCTTTTACAAAGAAAAAGAGTGACGTTCTCATTTTTTTTTGATATTGTACATATTGCCTCACAGCCTCAGGCAATACTTTTGATTCCCGGACAAAAAACCTTTAGACCTTTACTTCCCGTGTTACCAGAAATTCAATGAGAATTGAATATAGGGGCCTAACTTGAAAACGGAAGCATTTTACTATACAGTTATATAAATTATGAAAATGATTAATGGGAAATGTCAAACACAAACATTAGCTTGAAAACGTCATCATCTGAAATTAAGGGCGGCAAAGTTGAAACTTAAACAAAAAACATTCGTCACAATTTTACACAATTGCCCCTAGATATTCTTTGTACAACCGCCAATGACTTTGCGAGGTTTCAGAATCATGACGTCATCAGTCCAGAATTGAAGGAAGAATTTGAAAGTGATCACTTTTTTCCCTTTACATTCATATCCGTCATTTGATCCGTACGCAATGACTCGTGTTCGTAGTACAAATAATGATATCCGATACAATATGGACCTTGGGCTTCCAAATCGTCGGGGTGTTACAATACATAGTCTACACTTATAAACTCATCGAATTTTTTATACTTTCAGAAGTTCTTTTCTCTTAATGATGAATATTAATCCTGTCTTAAACCAATATTGAGTTTACACATTTTAACTGATGACGTCATCAAACCGGAAGTGACGTGGACGTGTAATAAATGTACACTAACATTTATACAACCAAAAAGGCGGGGTTTTTTTTCACTTTAAAACCAATTGTTCCTCTGGAAAAGGATACATTTTGAGATTTTTTTTCTGTTCTGATATGAAAATATTCAATTAAGTGGGCAATGTCCCATGATAAAGTTCAATGCCCGACCACCCAGCGTTTGTAACTCAACAAACGTAAATCTCTAGTTATATTATCGTTCGTGTGATCTGTTAGGAGTGGGGATTTTACTACCACGCCGGGTTCGAATGCCTGCGCTATATAATTTCCTTTTATAAACTGCCACATGCAGTCAGTCTGGCAAGATACACCACTTAACTGCATCGTTACGACTGCAAAATGATCAAACCTTTCAAATTTGATGAGAAACCTTAACTGCTCTCTGGTATGGGCGTACTATAGTGCAATATTTGTTCGAAGCAAAAAACGACGAAACAAAAACAACGTTTGTCCTTCACTGTCCATTACGTGATTAGGTTTTCGTTTTGTTTTTAATGACTAAGCCATCTGAAATTCTGCGAAATTATGTTTAAAATAGAATGGGTAATGACTTTTTGTCTTTTGCACAACAATGAGTTTTGCTGTATTGCTCAGAAATGGATGGATTTTGGGTTGGTATGTTATAGCAACCATTGTATACACTGGCAGACCTTTTATAAGTTTTGTCGTCATATATGTTCGGGGGGGGGGATAAGTAAACATTTTGTTCGTGTAGCCTGTTCCCCGACCCTACTTCAGACAAAACGGGGCAATTTATAGACGTGAGGAATTTGTTAGGTCGAGGATTCAGACTAACTGGCTTGCACCCGTTCGCAGATGTGTAACTGATTAGAAACAAAATCAGAACTAAGTTCGACAAACTAGGCCCGGCATTTTACAACAATTCCACTTTACTTAGAAATGATAGCACATCGGGTGCTATGAATAATAAGATGCTTGAGCATATTACTCACTTACAGTCAAGTGAGGTACTGCAAGGTCATTTTTTTTTTTTTTATAATTTGTAAATGTTGTATTATATATTACATTTCGAGTGTACATATCTTTTGCCCATCCAGGATTGATGGTGGCAAAATACTTAAGAGGACGTTTCAAAATTTATTCTTATCTTACAGAAAATGAGAATTAAGGGGACGCTTCTTGTTATCTTCTCTCTAGGTGAGTATTGTTTTTTTTTTAACTATCAACATTTTGAGAAAAGTTCTGCATTTACAGAATTTACGTTGGATTTTGGAAGAAGCTTAAAGGGAATGTACATCATTGGCTTTTGCTGTAATTTTCATAAATGAACTATTTGAGTGGTTAGTATAATAGATCAAATATTGTTACACTGACATGTTTCAAGTTTTGTGTTCATAAATGCTGGGAAAACCAAGAAAAACAAAAATGTTCAAGTAGTCTGGTTCCCTGACTCCACTAAAGTTGAAATGGATCAATTTACAGATGCCGGAAAATTGTAAGGTAAGGGAACCAATCTAGCTGGCCTGCACTCGTTCAGGAACATGTAACCAATAGCAAACAAAATTTGGACTGAAAGAAATGGTAAATTTGGAGCAGTAGTTGAAAAATAGTTAGGTTTATAGTTAGGTTTATCGGCCGACCACCGTTGGAAATTTGTACAAAATACTACTTTTCTTGAAAATGACTTCACACCAGGTGCCATAATTTTACAAAATGCTTTTGATTGTCATTTATCAACATCCTAGTAAGGTATTTCGTAAAAATGTGTTATTTTTCTTTTTCGATGTTTGCAAATGTTGTATATTCCCTTTAACATAGATGGGAATTACAGTGTGAGGATTTCGGAAACTGTGGTGAAAATTTGCCACCCATGGTGGGTGGTGTTTAAAGTATTCATAATACATTGTACAAACGTTATGTGTACATGGCATAATTACAATGTACGTGCACAGTTTGCACGTGTGCACACTATCTGTCTTTATGCATGACAGGACACTTATGAAAGTAATTTCTTGTTCAGCACAAAATTTATTGAAACGGTTTCAGTTAATATGGGAATTTATTTTCAACCAAAATTGTATGATATTTTGATGAATACTGTAGTGGCGCGGTGCCAACTTTCATCAACATGTTTGGGTTGCCCGCCGGATGCCTGTCGGCATGACGTCACAAGGCACATGGTCTATCAATTCAGATGCTTATAGATCTTTTTACAACAAATGTTGAAGTTCGCAATTCACGCTGCCCTTTTAATGTTCGAGGCATAAAATAGTCCAAACGTCGTCCCAACCTATAATGTTGACTATTTATTAGCATCTCGTTATATGATTTCGACCCAGACATTGTTGGATCATCCTTTGCTATTGTGTGCTACGCTGGGCGAGGCTTCGATGTGGCAGTGAATTCCCTACAGTGGGGATTACCAGTGGCCGATCCCTGCCGGTGCACCGCCGTACGGCTAGGCGGGGAAATTACCACCGCGGCCCCGGCGTTCTCACCGCTCTCTCGCGGTGGGGACCTGCTTCTCTCGGAGGACGCCGAAGAGATTTGGTCCTTCTTTAACTGCACAGGTATGGCGGAACATTATATAGGCCGCATTTAACCGCGTATAACCAAGAGGGGTATATAGGACGCACGCCACGTGGATGAAAGGGGGTCGGGTGATGGGGTAGGCGTACTGGACTCATTCCACCTCTAGAATCTGTAGAAGACACCCCATAAAAGAAGCTTTTGTGTTTAAATATGCCTAATGCCCATCGCCCCAAATACCTCTGAAACATTGACCTCGGCTAAATCACTGCCAGGGGCGGCCCAGTTCGGTCGTGTTTTTTTTAGGGGGGGGGGGGAGTGGGAGGAGGATGAAGGAGGGGGAGGGGTGGTTTCTGTTTTTTCTATGCACAATGGCTCTAATAGGCTCTAACAGATCTTTTGTAAAAAGCAAGAAAGATAAAGTAAGTAAGCAAGCAAACAAACAGGTAAAAAAATAAATAAACATGAATCCAACCGAACAACTATCCAATCGACCGACCAATGCAAAGCATACAAAAGTTTCACCGCAAGCGGGTGTACGATCAATGTTATATATTGCTGGCAAGTGGCAAGAGCGGGATTCAAGCCTGCGACTGCGACCTCCCCGCCCAGGCACCGTTTAGGAGCTCCACCAAGTTTTGATTTTTATTCGGTAAGGCCAAAATAAAAATTAGTCGGTCTCTGGTCAGCGCGCGCATCGATTTTAATCATGCGCGTCGATCTTTTTTTTTCCAAAATGTTCCGCGGTAGCTCCAACAGCGCCCTCTATTTCCGCACCTCCTCAATTTTTTTTACCAAAGAGCACCAAGGAATGGGAAATTGCACCTAGGCAAATGATCGAAAGCACCAAGGCAAATTATGGAGGACACCGCTTGAAGAAAAAAAAAAGAGGGGAAAAAAAAAAAGCGTGGCCGCGTCAATTCCGGAACTTTGGTCTGACCAGAGACCGAATATTGTTTTTTTTTTGGCCTAACAGGTCCCCCTTCTTTTCTGCCGATAGCTCGTTTCTGTGCCACTCTGCCGGGGTCGGAGCATTGGCAGTCCTTCGGTCTCAGTTGCTACCTGATTATCAACCTGAGGTTCGCATATCTTGAGGCCGAGAAGTACTGCGGCAATCTTGCCACCCAGGGGAAATCGACCCACCTGGCGTCGGTCCACAGCGCCGAGGAGAACGCCTTTCTGCGGCGGTACCACGCGGCAGTATTCCAGTCGACCAGCAACATCGCCCTATGGATCGGGTACGATCGGCTCGCTTCGGGGGACACCTACCGGTGGCTGGATGGGTCAGTAGGGAGCGGGTTCGAAGATTGGAAACCGCCAATGGAGCCATCTAGGGGGGCAGAAAAGTGCACCGTGTTATGGTATGGTAACCACTGGAATGACTGGCCATGTTACAATACTGCCCCTTTTGTTTGTAAGATGCCTGCTTATTAGTGGGTTTTCTTGTTTTCAATTGGGCAAGGACTTTCACTCGAGGTTTATTTGAATAAAAAATTAGACAAATAAACTTATGACAGTAAACATTTTTCAAGTTAGCATCCGTGTGATTTTCATCTTTTTCGATTCTTTTTCCTAACGAATATTAGCCACTGGACATGTATGCACATTATATTCACAATATTTAGGTTTATCTATGCACACTAATGACTTTTTATTTTGTGTACATAATGTATGGGATGCTGCCTGCATTGAGCATATAGCAAAACGTGCACGAAAGAAGTAAAACAGTACTCACTAAAATGTAGGATACATTTATACATTATAGACGTACATGTATAACACAAAACAAACGAACACCGTCCCTTAATGTTTGCTATAATTATGACCAGCATGTTCTAAAGTATGCAGCAAACGTAAAATGCAGTCCATTAGACCCGGGCCAATACATTGATTTTAAAAAAAAGTAGACTTCTTCAAGGATATTAATCATTTTGTGTGTGCGTAGTCGCGTGTGTGGCACAGTCTTCGGGCATGCGTTAAATCAGCGTTAATGACGTGGAATTAGTTGGACGAATTCCCAAGTTTGGTATATTTGAGATTAACGGACGGAAGGTAGTTTGATTTTTCAGGTTCCTATTGATTCCCCCCTTTGGAAGAAAGTGATGTTGGTGAAGTGTACCGGATTGCCCTTACACACTGTAGTTTTTGTTTTTGTTGTATTAATTTTCACAGTCAATTATGGGACGCAATTTCAGTACAATGTGTTTTTCTTGAGTTATCGTCTCCACAAAGAGTGCTTTATTTTTGTTCAATTAAAAGTGACTCGAATTCGCATTGATTTTTTTCGCGATTAATAAACTGTATGTCCTTTAAATCATATTAAATTTATTCTTCAAGTGTTCCCGTCGATTTTCAAAAGGTTTGAGTCCCATATCCAGAACAATTATTGAACGAAATTTCAATTCAGTGCAATGGGTTTTGTTTTAGTTATCTATGTTCTTTAAATTATATTAAATATATTCTTCAAGGGTTCCCGTTGATTTTCGACCTTTTTGTGTCATATATACCGAAAAATTATTGAACCAAATTTTAATTCAGTGCATTGTGTTGTTCTTGAGTTATCGTCTCCACAAAGTGTGTTTTATTTTTGTTCACTATGATGCCGACTTCGTTTGGGCAGATCGTGATCCACGTTGACAGAAGTCTTTACGGTGGTGACCAGTTTTTGTGTAGCGCGCCCTATTTTGGTAGAAATTGATGTTGGTAAAATGTACGGGAGTGCCCTTACACAGTGCAGTTTTTGTTTTTGTTGTATTAATTTTTTTCTTCAACGGTTTCTGTCAAATTTCGAATGGATTGTGTTGTATATCACAGTCAATAATAGGACGCAATTTCAAACTAGTACAATGTGTTTTTCTTGAGTTATTTTTGTTACAATAATAGTGACTCGAATTCGAATTGAAATTTTCGCGATTAATAAACTGTATTTTCTTTTAATCATATTAAAATTTATTCTTCGAGTGTTCCCGTCTATTTTCAAAATGTTTGAGTCCTATTTCCAGAACATTTATTGGACGAAATTTCAATTCAGTGCAATGGGTTTTTCATGAGTTATGGTCTCCACAGAGGGCTTTATTTTTGTTCGCTTGAATTCGGATTGAATTTTAATAAACGGAATGTTCCTTAAATCATATTAAATTTATTCTTCAGAAGTTCCCGTTGATTTTTCAAAACATTTGCGTCATATATTCCGAACAATTTTTGAACCAAATTTCAATTCAGTGCAATGTGTTGTTCTTGAGTTATCGTCTCCACAAAATGTGTTTTATTTTTGTTCACTTAATGCCGACTTCGTTTTGGCAGATCGTGATCCACGTTGACAGAAGTCTTTACGGTGGTGACCAGCTGGGCCCAATTTCATGGCGCTGCTAAGCACACGATTTTCTGCTAACAGAGCCTCCGTCTATTTCATGGTGACCGTAAGCAGTAAGCACAGCAAAAGGCACTCTTACTTCAGAGGAAAAAATTGCTTAACTCAGTGACGTAACAATAGAAATCTCCATGCACGCGCGACCGTTAGCACACACACGCCGTGGTTAGCAAATTTTTCTGCTATGCTAAACACAACTTTTCTGCTAACTTTTAAGCAGCGCGTGAAATTGGGCCAAGTATTTATGTAGCGCGCCCTCTTTTTGGAAGGAATTGATGTTGATAAAAAGTAGGGGAGTGCCCTTACTCACTGTAGTTTTTATTGTATTTATGTTTTTCGTCAACAGTTTCTGTCAAATTTCAAAACGATTTAGTCCTACATCACAGTCAATTATTGGACGAAATTTCAATTCAGTGCACTGTGTTGTTATTGAGTTATCGTCTCCACAATGAATGTTTTATTTTTGTTCCAATAATAGTTAATAGAATTCAAATTGAAATTTCCACGATAAATAAATTGTTTTATCTTTTAATCACATTAAATTTATTCTTCAAGTGTTCCCGTCGATTTTCAAAACGTTTGAGTCCTATATCCAGAACAATTTTTGGACGAAATTTCAATTCAGTGCAAAGTGTTTTTCTTGAGTTATCGTCTCCACAAAGTACTTTATTTTTGTTCGCTTGAATTCGGATTGAATTTTAATAAACGGTATGTTCTTTAAATATTAAATATATTCTTCAGGAATTCCCGTTTATTTTCGAAACATTTGTGTCAAATATTCCAAACAGTTATTGTACGAAATTTCAATTCAGTTCACTGTGTTGTTCATGAGCAGTGGCGTCACCAGACTTTTCAGTCTGGGGGGGGGGGGGGGGGGGGGGGGTTACAGGGGGGGCACCAGCATTTGATGGGGGGGGGGCTCTAAGGTGGATACGGATCGCCGTCCTGGGGGAGGGGTTTAAGGGGAGGGGCTGCCCCCCTCCCCTTTGGAAAATTTTCGCATACGGAGGATGGGCTAGATGCAAAATGGTGCCACATTTGATGCTAAATTCGATCTGAAGATATCTCAAGAAATTGCTATTTTTGAGGTAATGATTTTAACAACGCGCAGAATTTTGCAGAGGATAGGGGGCACCAGCATTTGATGGGGGGCACTCGGGGGGGGGCACAAGGTTTTCCAGGGGGGGGGGGGCACGTGCCCCCCCCCCCCCCCCCCCCTGGCCCCCCCTTGGCGACGCCACTGTTCATGAGTTATCGTCTCCACAAAGTGTGTTTTATTTTTGTTCACTTAATGCCGACTTCGTTTGGGCAGATCACGATCCACATTGACAGAAGTCTTTACGGTGGTGACCAGTAATATAGCGCGCCCTCTTTTGGAAGAAATTGATGTTGGTAAAATGTACGGGAGTGCCCTTACACAGTGCAGTTTTTGTTTTTGTTGTATTAATTTTTTTCTTCAACGGTTTTTGTCAAATTTCGAATGGATTGTGTTGTATATCACAGTCAATTATAGGACGCAATTTCAAACTAGTACAATGTGTTTTTCTTGAGTTATCGTCTCCACAATGAGTGCTTTATTTTTGTTCCATTAAAAGTGAGTCGAATTCGAATTGAAATTTTCGCGATTAATAAACTGTATTTTCTTTTAATCATATTAAATTTTTTCTTCGAGTGTTCCCGTCGATTTTCATAAAGTTTGTGTCCTATATCCAGAACAATTATTGGACGAAATTTCAATTCAGTTCACTGTGTTGTTCTTGAGTTATCGTTTCAACAAATTGTGTTTTATTTATGTTCCCTTAATGCCGACTTCGTTTGGCCAGACCGTGATCCACGTTGAACCACGGCGTCAAGCCCTATACGTTATGAGAGATATGAGATACATACATTTATTTCGATGCTGCATAAAGGACGATACATAATGTTATATATTCAAATTGGCAATACATGTACATATATATATATTTACAATATATATATTTACAATATATATATATTTACAATAGTGAAAATGGCAGCATCTAGGTCCAGGGTGAAGCATAAGCTTTTGTTCCCCAGCCTATGGACAGACAGACAAGTGACAGACATACATGGAAAGACAGAGCACAAACACTGGTGTAAGACAGTAATCAGGGCTGTTATTATCCCTATTACATTGTTTTAGTATGCAATTAAAATTTGATTTTTTAGTTTTCTAGCAAAAATAGAGAGAGTGGGTGATGATTTAAAAGAGTTATCCAGACTATTCCAATATAGAGTGCCACGTTGGACAACACTGTTTTTGGACAATGTCGTTCTACAATAATTAACATACAGATATTTCCTAGTGGCACTGCGGGGATTATATGAATGAATGTTTGAAGTAAGTTCACCAAGATGTTGCTCCCATTAGAGACACATTCTTGGAAAAAATGGTCCAGTTAACATTGTTAACTTATTTCTTATGATGGGACTGCGGTTTGGCCGAAGTCAATTGAGCGTGATCGGCTGACTGATAAGGTTTACGTACAAAACCCCGAGCCAACGAGGTTTTTGTATAGAAAGCTGCCGGACCACATTTTGCGAGAGTGTGTCCGTAATGCACCGGACGCTCTCCAAACTTGACGGCATCCCAAGTGACGGTAAACAGTACAAAGCAATAAAATAAATGACAAAATAATAAACTTGAACGAATATTAAACTTAAACGTTTTACTTTGACGTGAGTTAAACTTAAATACATGTAAGTAAATTCGTTTTTTTTTTTTTAAATCCCGGCTCGATCTCGTGCTCGTGCCCCGTGTTTATGTTTTGCGCCCTCCATTGTCTTCACCTAGATGTACTATACGACGGCTATTTTATTCACGTACTGTCATTTACTTGTACATACATTTTGTGCACTCGAATGGTGTGACATTTGCTGTATACTCGTATTAGGTGTGAAAAACAGTCGTCGGCTCTTTCTTTCAATCGACAACATGGCCGGCTATGAGGAGGGTGACATTTTTGGCAACGCGTCCCTCTTCGAGGATTTTTGTGATACAGCGACTTCAAAACCTAAGACTGAGAACGATAATGTCCAAGACGATGACCACAGCGAAACTGTTAAACAGATGAAGGACGAAATAGATGAGCTGAAGCAAGAAAATATCCTTTTAATGCTGGGACGATAGCCTTGTCCAGTTTTCGGACAATAAATGCACTCTCGATGAAATTGAAAAGAAAGTGATTGAAACCGTTTACGGTGTAGCCCCATAAATGTGGCCAATACTGCCATTACTGGCGCTCCGTAAAAGGGGGCCACACTTGCCCTTGGGCACAATTGCAGAATACCCCGCCACTCGATCTATCCACCTCGTAGCCGGCTACGAGGTCACGGTTGGTTGACCTCAATAAACATTCTCAGCGCTACTTGTTTGTACTATGCATCTAGTCCGAAAATTTGGGACTCTCAATACTGTGTATGAGAGTCCCAAAACTTAAGGTATCCATATCGTGCAAAAGTTTGTGCTGCATAGTAAAACCAGTGTGAATCAAATTTGCAAGCTTCTTACTCACTACAGTTTCTTCAATAATCCCCGAAACTTCTGCCCTGCAAAGTTGCTGTTGTGAGCATTGCATCACCAAAAATTCAGCTTTTAATTCTAATTTTGCAGGGAGTTATCGAAATCCAAACGCAAAACATCACGTTGATGTGTACTGCAATGCATTGTGCAAAAAAACTCCTCAGCTAAAACATTTTCATCGTGTAGATAAAACAGCGCCCTCTTGTTGATCTGAGTGAATGCAGAATGGTTCATTTTTTAACAGAGGGCGCTATGTTCATTTTGCCATCGATTAAAAAACAAGTAAGCTGCAAGGCTCTTCCTACACCTACCCAGAACACCTTGGGAATCACACAACCATTTCTAGAGCATGGAGAATGACGTGGATGGTTTTTGAACTGCCAAAAACTTGCCCTAAAATTGGATTTAAGGTCTCAAATTTCGCAGGTGACATGCTTGAAAAATGCTGTATGTGTTGTGTGGGCATTAATTAGCCGAATGGTGAGTAATAAAACGTCAGTAGTAATTTTGCACGTTTTTATGCACTCACGGTCCCAGTCAGCTATGCGTCATGCTCCTTTGCACTCCCACTTCGTAACCGCGTAGCCACCAACAGGGTGGTTGGTTTGGACTTCGAATTTTTTTCAGCAACTCCCATTCCTTTTGTGTTGCTTCGTTCTCAAATAATGGACCCCCACTCAGTATCCGCGTAGCTGGCATGGACTCGAATTGTTTCTTTTCCAGTGATCCCAACCTCGTAGCCAGAGAATTTAGGGGTGTATTTCCAAGTGGCGGGGTATTCTGCAATTACTCCCACACTTGGAACATGTATGATGTACCCGAAAATGTAGATTTTTGTCAAGTTTTTATTTTCACAATTAGACTTTGTTTGTAGTTTATTTACGCTCATGTAAAATCACACTCACCCTCTTTAAAGTGACAGAAAATTAGTCCCCCCTTTTCACTTCAGACATCTTTATTTCATGTAATTTCCAGGTTCATTTGCACACATTTGCGTATCTTAATTCAACATAAAATTGCACGAAAAGAAGATGTCTGAAAAAAGGGGGACTAATTTCATATTGCTTTATAAAGAGGGTGAGTATGCTTCTAAAGCGTAAATAAACTACAAATAACTTCTAAATGTCAAAATCCAAATTTGACAAAGTTCTACATTTTCAGGTGCATGTTCCAGGTGTGGCCCTTATCTACAGAGGTAGTCCAGTAAATCTGCCACATTTATGTAGCCTAGACTAGCCCGGCCTAGGGGGAAAAACATGTTGCAACCTGACGCCACTCCAGCGATTGTGTACAAAGGCTATGGAGAGTCAAGAAAATTGTATTCCCAAACAAAATTGGAAATTTTTCTCAGTCCAAGATTCATGTCTTATCATTTTTGCAATGAATGACCTTCATCGAGATGATATATGAAGAAAAAAAGTGGCGCCAGGTTGCAACATTTTTTCTCACCGTAGCTCTACTGAGTGGAGCGCTGGAACTATGATACCCTCCACTCTGTACTAGCGCTCCACCGAATAGACATATTGATTTATTCGGTTGAGTACCGGGACGAATTAGAATAAATCTGCTTTATCATTGATATGTAAATGAGACACGGTAGAGTGGTTAAGGGCGGGTAATTTGAATAGGGAGTGGCACAGGAATGTGTGTGTGGTTGGATTGAAGGTAGATCACTTCACGCTTGCGAGCAGCAACGACAACACACAATTTTTGTGGCGCTGTACTTCCATTGCGTTATATCAGCAAATGGGAGAGATGGCAGTTTTGCTCTCCTAAAGTCAATTCGACATCTCATTTTAAGAAGCTACATTACATTCAAGGCTACTGACAACAGAGCTCGCCCCTACATCGGTATCAATCAAGACAAGACAGTTGTCAATAGCAGATGGACCGAAGATCGGAAAGCAGAAAGCAGAAAGCCAGTTTACGAAGCTAAGTTAAATTACAGTCTTTTTAATTTGCAAAAATGTAGTTGCAGATGTTGAAATTCACAGATGATTTTTTGAGAACGGAGAGATTTCTGGTTCCGAACGAAGAGTGTTCTGGAGATTTACTTTCCCATCGTGAATTGTGGGGACTTTTACACTAGTTCTTTGTTATAAGATGTAACCAGTCTCAGAAAATGGTCAATTTCAGAAAACCCACACTCTACTTGTTGAGACGAAATATAGGCCCTAGATTGAATCGATGTTCTGCCATATACAATTTGTTGGAAACCCATAATAAAGCCGTTTATCATTAATCCTTTGTAAGTTTCAATTCAGTGACAACAGGTGAATGTCGTCCGAAAAGGGAGTAGATAGTCCTGGCATCAATCAGTCAAATTTGGTGATACGCCCATATTTCTTTGTTCCTTGACAACGTATTGATTCACGTTGAAGTTTGATCTGAAAATCTTAAATATCACCTTGTGAGCGTTTGACCAATCAGGTTTTCCTGGGTTTCACATAATTTTTTTTTTTTTCCGATTTGTTCCAATTCCTACCATCATATGTGTCTTTAAATTGTACCAAAATAGTACGATCGCTGGAAAAAGGGGCAATTGCAAGAACAAGGAGAGTTGTCTTAGAAGACAGTTTGGGACACTCCAGTTTCCTTCAGAAAGCCATAGAATAGAGAGCACAGTGCTCAAACCAAAAGTGGTTGGTTCTAAAATGCTCAAAACGGGGTTGAAGTGGTGAAGAAGTTGGTTCAGAAGGTGAGAAATGCAGAATTATGCATACATGTCATGTACAGATGACTTGCTTAACGATGGTTTAGAGATTTGCCAGCTTATTCCATTTTATAACAATTGCTTTCAGAAAGTCAGAGAGCACATGCTTAACTTAAGCGGAGAATGTATTTGGATTAGCAAAGTGGTTTTGTCTAGTGCGAAGACGGAGAAGTGTAGAAATACAAGATGTCTTTTAGACGATGATTGAGTTTGCCAGTTCCTTCAAAACCAGAGAGAAGATTTAGTTCTAGTAGGCTTGACTTGAGATTCGTATAAAGTCCAAAGGTATTTAGAATCCCGTTTCACTGATGTATTTACATCTGTTTCTCATCAAAGTTCACTAGTCTTGTTCGGAGAAAAATTTCCTCCAGTTTCAAAACTGTTCCACCGACGCTGGACGCACTGGCAGTACAAAAGGGATTCAATAGAATATTTGGGCATCGGTCAGATAGCGAGAAGACTCGAAGCTCGACTCGGAGAGAATCGAAGGCAGTGAAATTGGCCTTAAGTTAACCCTTCTATGGAAACATGCATGGTCAGCCTAGTTTATTATTTGGCCTAATCTTGGCCAAGATAACCCCATTGGTTTAATATGAAAGCCACGAGTATCACCATACTAAAGTTTAGTGGTTTACGTGGCAATAAAGTTAGGGTCAGAGTCGTTTCTGACAGAAGTATATAACGAGATGCGTTCAGAACGCAAACAAGACAGTCTCAGCAGACTTACACCAAAATATGGTGACATCCTCAGCGGATGTTTGGTATTGTAAACGTTACAATTGATATCCCCAGCGGATGATGATTCAGATTTGGCAAATAAGCTGTTCTTTTGTATTCAGAGTATAGTTGTAGCAATAAGCAGTGGGAAATGCGCTTTTAACTAAATGCACTTAATAAAGAAAGTGTTTAGTAAGTTGATGCATGATTTTAATCTCGTTAAAGTAACAATCTTTGTTATTTCCTTTTTGGAAGCTCATCTTCAACAGCGATAATTGGAGGCAGCGGAGTCCTCAATCAGCCAAAAGTCAAGAGCTGGATATAGTCTCGCCAGTCAACTGCTTTCCATGCTACTCGAGTCACAAGCCTCATCAACAGTCTCTCAGTACAGATCATCCTTCACGAGATGGCGACAATGGGCAGAGTTGCACGGAATACCATCCCTACCCGCAGATCCTTACATGGTAGCCTTATACCTGATCCATATTGGAACTCTGCAACATCACCATGCACCTACAGTCACAAACTCTTTAGCTGTCATGTCATGGGTTCATCTCATGGCTAGTTGGGGACCATGATACAACCAAAGACCCTCTGGTGTCATACACCGCGCTAAAGGTCTGACAAGAACACTGGTTAAGCCAAAGAAAGATCCAATTACACCAGATATTCTTTCTGAGATAGTGCCAAAATAGGGTAAAGACCGTTCAGTACACATCTTATTTCATATAAGAATCCTGGTCAAGGCCCTTATTTCATATACCGGGTCCTATCGGCTCAGTGAGTTAGCCGCACTTTAATTGAAGTATTTACGTGTTATCTCATGCACTCGGCCATGTGAATTCAGTTATTATTGCGAGGTAATTATTATCAACATGTACAGTTGCAATGTTGGAATTGTATGTCAAGTGAGTCAAAGTTTTCCCTTCAGATAAAGACCTTCTTTTGTGTTCATAAACTTAAACAAATGTTAAAGAAGAGTATAAAGTGATTTCATAGAGGTATAAACCGATGAAGTACTCGAGAGTTTGAGAGGGAAGGTTAGAGTTTTCACAGAGCAGCCCCATGCTGCTGTTTGAGTCTTAGCGGCTATCAAAGCAGATATCCAACAGGCTGTTCAAGCGTCATGGACGCCATATCAGAGACAGAGAATGATACTTTAATATATCCAAGAGAGTGATTGTAATATGATGTTAAATATCTAAATCCTTTTGGGGATTCAGCATTACAGACCCGTTCTTTATAGTTCATACCGGTTGCTGCTGCAAGCACAAATACCAAAATCAGGATGATTTGATTGTTTATTGTGTAGAATGGTGTTGAAATGATAAATATTGATTTATTCGGTTGAGTACCGGGACGAATTAGAATAAATCTGCTTTATCATTGATATGTAAATGAGACACGGTAGAGTGGTTAAGGGCGGGTAATTTGAATAGGGAGTGGCACAGGAATGTGTGTGTGGTTGGATTGAAGGTAGATCACTTCACGCTTGCGAGCAGCAACGACAACACACAATTTTTAACACAGTTGTTAAGTCTGGTTGTAATTTCATAGTTGTTCAATGTCTCAAACAGTATTTATAAGAGACGAACATTGCTACCCTTGCCTGAAGGAGTTGTCTTGCATAGTTCAGGTGTACGTTTCCATTTTTCCAAATATGGTTTTGGTTTTTCGTATCTGGCAGTCAACACAGCAATGTTAGATGGGGTACAATTCCAGAAACAGCCATAATGTAATAGATGAGTGGTATCTTGCGATTATTCAATTAAGTTTAGCTAAAGGCTCTGAAGCCTAAAGGAAAGTTCTGTGAAACTTAAAGGTTCAAATGAAATCCACAAGTGGCAATCAAGGTATGGTCGGAGTAGTTTCTGACGGAGGTATAAAACGAGATTTACAGGTTGGCAGTAAGATTCATAAAGATCAGATCTACTAGATGAGATGCTAGAATTGTTCTAGCGATCTAATGCGTTCAGAACGCAAACAAGTCTGAATAGACATGCACCATAGTATGCGTGATTTATCCTCAGCGGAAGATATCTGGTATTGTACAAAACCAAAAGAGATAATTCTGAAAAGCTTGCCTTAATATAATATCAAATGTGGAACGATTATTCAGAAATAACCATGACAATTGTAAAGAGGAGGGAAGTCTCAAGGTTAATTCTAGTATTGATTACGCAAATATGATAAATGAAAGGCTCTTACGCCTAAATGATAGACCCTAGTTCTGTAAATATTGTCTCCATCAAGACGTCTTTAAGGTTCAAATTATTGAATGACCGTTATTAAAACACTGTCGTACCTGGTAGTCATCACAGCGATGAGATTAAACATAATATCAAATGGGGTACGAATAATTAGAATTAATCATAACAATTGCAAAAAGAGTGTTGTCTCAGGTATAATTCTGTATAATTAATTGATCACTTAAATGTGTCTATAATGAAAGGCTCTTACGCCTAGATAATAGATGATAGTTCTGTAAATACTATCAAGTCTTTAAAGGTTCGAATTATTGAAAGATGTAATTAAAACATTGGGTCGTCGTACCCGGTTGCTGCTGCAAGCACAAATACCAAAATCAGGATGATTTGATTGTTTATTGTGTAGAATGGTGTTGAAATGATAAATACTAATTCTACACATGTATAAATCTGACATACGGTATGCATTATTTTTGCATACCTTGGAGGACATAAGGCCCCAAAAAGCTGGTAAAGAGAATACAAATGAGAACGAAAAATACTCTGAATAGATCTACACATTCTTGACATTCCCTAAGACCACTTAAACTTGTTCACAATAACAGGTAATTTGAAGACAAAAAAACAATTAAAAATATTCTGAAAAATCTACCGCTCACATGTGTGTCCGGATAGTTTTCAAGAGAATTTGCGGAAATTGCATTTTGGTTTAATAATGACAGAGCAATTAAGCAAGAATTAATGGTCTGTATTAGCCAGAAATCGTTGGTCACAGTTTTTCTTAACAAAATATCATCATACATCATGAACTGAAAAGACAAATGCGTCTGCTCATCCATCCTGGGTAAGTGATAATTAAACGTTTGTTTGTTTGTTTGTTGGGGTGTTTGTTTGTTTGTTTGTTTTTGTTGATCTTGGTGGTGTAGCTGGTTTTGTTACTTTTTTAATCCCCTGGCTTTATCCCAGAAAAGGGGCTCTTACGATAGTGTATTCCTTCTGTCCATGTGTGTTGCATTTTGGTTAAGTTAACTGTTTAGTGCTATCGTATGAAAAGTCAGACTTCAATCTCAAACCAAACTTGGTGACTATAATGTATAATCTTTGGGGTATTACAAAATGTAGGGGGACTTCAGATGACTTGAGACGACTTGAGACATGTAAGGTCAAAGGTCATCTAGGGGTCAAATGAGGTCATTGTTGTCTTTGGTTAATAGGTAAACTGAAAAGTTCTGCCATATGAAAGATCAGACTTTACTCTCAACCAAACTTGGTGACAATTGTTGGGTAGGGGGATTTCAGATGACTTGAGACATGTAAGGTCAAAGGTCATCTAGGGGTCAAATGAGGTCATTGTTGTTTTTGGTTAGGTCAACTAAAAAGTGTGCTTACTATAAATTGACCGTAGAAATATTGCATGCCAGTGTTCTAGCCTAAAATTATGTTTCTGTCTGTTTGGTAGAATGGAAAAAGCTGAAAATACAGATGTTGCTGATTATAGTGATATGTACATTGTATCAGGTTTGTGACAGACTGACAGATAACATTGTACATGTATGGTGTGGTAATGGTTGGTCTTTTCCTTGAGAATATTCAGACCTGTGCTTCACAGAAACAGATTTGTAATTAAAAAAACAAAACAATGTTTTCTTTTGATATTAATTGTAAAAAGTGAGCTTGCATTTGACTTGGCTGAGAATAAGCCATTTGCGAGTGACCTACATGTACTGTATACCCTTTGTGGGGATTGAAATTTGAAAAAAAACATCTGGTACACTGACTTGCTCAGAGGGCTTGGCACATTTTAACTTTGAATTCTCCAGACTAAAGACAACTGTTACTAATCGCATGATTCAGGGCATACTTACGTAAGAGACGCTCGGCACCAATGCACTGTGCAGTGTGCACATCGGGTGAGAATGGCATAAAGACACCAGACCATGCCGGAGCTAGGGGTTGCTAGCGTAAGGCATAACAGTATCTTTGGTCAGGAGAATGCAAAGTTAAAACGTGCAAAGCATTTGATTGAGTCAGCGTTCCAGATTATATTCAAATTTAAAGCTATAGTTCATCATTTGTAATTTGTGCATTTTGTTCATTTGAAGCAACAAAAGAGTTCAAATTCTAATAAAGGATACTAAGCAACTAACCTGATAAAGTTTCAGCTAAGCTTCAGCTGTACATTCCGAGAAAAACAGCATTCTAAGATCTCAATTTCAAATCAAAAGTTACTGAATCATGTTTTGAATTGCAGCTATACGCGACGTCGCGCACTGATCCGACGAATTATAACAACCGCGCGCGCGTGTGCGTCGTTCCAATACTTGCGCGCGCTGCGCTGAATAACAAAACGAGCTACTAATTTAAATTTTCCTACGGTGCTTCTTAAGAATCACCGTTGGAAATGCCTTCTTTCGTTGATTACTTCAAAATGACAGCTTCCCAGAAAGAATAATTTCACAGGGAGTTTAGTTCCCTTACTATCTTTCAACTAAGTTTGTTTTTCAACAATATTTACGCCAGTTACTTTTCGGATGGCTGCAAATGATGGACTATAGCTTTAACTCGCAAATGGCTTACTCATATTTTGACACATCTTGTACAAATTTGTTAACGACCCCTAAGTTTAAACTATTTTTTCCCAAGGTACCGGTACACATTAGGCCTACATATCCAACAAATGGAACAATGTAAACTGAACAACCTTAAATACATGTAGATTTGTCATTTGCTGAAATTGCTGTCGGGAATTTCCCTCGTAAACATTCAGACCTGTATCATATTTTATTTCTCTGATTTTGTCGTCTCACAGTAACCCGACGACTGGAAGATCTGTTCAGGATGCCCCATTGGCGCAAGTACTCTTTTTCAACCATGATGCCATTTGGTGAGTTTTGTTTGTAAACAATTCATTGAATTTGTTTTAAAAACCGTTAGCTTTTGAGAAATAGATGTGCTGAAACCGCGTAGATGACCCCTCAGGGGCATTTGAAAAGTATTCTTGATTACCCCTCACACTACCGTAGTTTACATGGGGCTAGATCTCACTTGAAAGTTTCTGTGCCTATGGTTTTTTGAACTGGGGTTTATAGTACTTAAATGGTTAAAGCAAAAATGCTTTACCCTAATGTAACTGAATCCATCAAAATCCACACCACAGATTCAGGATACATGTACCTCCATATTAAAAAAGTTGGGGGATTTTGATGGATTCAGGACAGTAAGCCTAGCTGTACTGCAGGATTTTGATGGATTCAGGATACCTCCATCTTGAGCAGTTGGGGGACTTTGATGGATTCAGGATCTCAACAGTTTAACTCCTTGGCTATAATAATGTTTGTTGTGTACAAGGTACAATGTATGGACTACACTGGTGGATCCTGATGGACTCACTGGTGGATTCTGATGGACTCAGGACACCAACATTTTTTTCAGGACAAAATTGGTGAATTTTGGAGGATTCAGGGTACTTTCTAGTAAAAGTGCTCAAGGGATTAGGGTTAATTAAAGGAAGTAAAAGTATCAGTAGGGTTCGGAACGGTAGATGGTTTTTATTTTGTGTGTATAAATCTATGATTTTTAATCGTCACGGTATACTTCAGGTATACATGTACTCCTGAGTTACAATGTATGCCAGAATTTTTCCAGATATGATTTTTTTGCCAGGATTTTTTTTCTGATTTCAGGATATTTTGGCAGGATTCTCCTGATTCCAGGATTTTGTAAAGATTTTCCTTTGAAATTTGGAATTCCTGAGGTTTTACAGTTGGTGTTTTTACCTATAAACATTTATGTAGAACAAAAGAAGTATCTAAGGGCTGCCTTTAGGCAAATGCAATATTGTAGCGTTGCCATTTCAGATCGTTTCAAAATCCCTCTTTTGCAGCTTTTGTAGGCACGAGATTGAAGACTTCTTTGAACAACTGACATCACAGACAAATGGGGATGCGGGGGGAGTCGGGATCCCAGACGATGTCAGGCCCATGCCCCAGGTATGTAAAAAGTAGAGTATACAGTCTGGTGCTTGGCTTCTCTGTATCTGTATGGTTACGTTGCAGTAACCTATTCAGGCATTATCGCAACGGAGTATAGGTACTCAAGGCACTGGGAGTTATGTCTATTATTAGATGAATGAAGTACAAGAGAAATATGAGACTCATTATGTAGCACCGTATAAGGGTTTACGAGGTGCTGCGGCCACTGCCAGGACACCGGGGCCAACCCCTTCTCTTAGCGACAAGTGTTACTGGGTTCTTTAACGTGCATTACACAACACACGGGACCTACGGCTTTGCGTCCCATCCGAAGGACGAAGCAATAATGGTTAAGTGCCTTGCTTAAGGGCACAAGTGTCCGCCGGCGGGCTCGAACCCACGTCACTGTTGCCTCTGAAACACCAGAACATGAGTCCGGTGCTCTTAACCGCTAGGCCATGACACTCCCTTAGACATCAATCCAGGTGCCCTAACATGGAGCACATTGTGGCCGTTTTCTATTGATGATAAATTTGGTACCAAGTTGCAGGAAGTTTTCAAGTGTCTCCACAATGCTTTTGGGCCCTGCAAAATTGTACAACTGGTGTGTGGTGACTGTGGACCCCACAACTACCGTTACGTAACAAATACATACATGTACACGAAATATGAGTGAAATTGTCCGTCGGAAATTACATGACACACCGACGGTGGAATAATACTTGTCACATGCGTTATCACTTACAGTGCCAATTCAAAGTTAAGAAGTACATGTACATTTGCACTTGTCTCTTCATTTTTTTTTGAAATACAAGTTCAATGCCCTCCATGTGTAAACTAAAAGAGGGCGCTTTTGTGAGAACAATTGCTCGTTATTTGAATATGTATCTAGACTTACTTGGCGATAGTCATTTTCCAAGGTGGTACCAGGCTTGTGCGAGTCGCGCTCAGGTAGAACACATACACTCCGAGCTCCTTCGACCAATTGGGTTATCAGAATGCGCACTCGCCTTGTCTTATGAGAATGCGTACGGTATGCCCACTTTTCCATGTAAACAGGGTTCCACCTATTAAAGTGCGAGTGTCAGTGCACAATAAGCTCTGGCCGGCCAGGTTCCAGAATGTCTCACTTCATATGCAAAACAGACGCGCCTGCGTATCGATTGAGACATACATGTAGGGGCGTGTTCCAAAAAGTTTCGCCTAGAGTGCATTTACTGACGACGGCATCAATTGGTAACTTTATATTCTATGGGAAACTTAGGGGGCCCGTTTTTGTCGATTTTCCGGGGACAGACCGACTGACCGACCGACCGACCGACCGACCAACCAGCTAACCACAAAGTGACATGTACAAGTTCCTGCCAGAGCTTAAAAAAGGCCTCTAATTTTGTTTGCAGAATTAGTCTATAATAGGAGAGAGAACGTTTTTTTTTCAAATATTGAGAAGTTGGCTGGTTCCCTTAACATTACATGCAGGACTTCAAAAGGAAGGGGTTGGGAACCGGTGTAATCATAAGAGTTGTGAAGCAGCAATCATGTGTCAAGAATCAGTGATTTCGAGGGTAATGTACCCTCCTGCATGTTTGGCAGTTTCACTAATTTTTTTTACGAGGTACTCCTGCTAAACATTATTGGAAAGAAAACCATAACATGCTCCATTTCCTTGTGCAGTACATGTACATGAATTTTCACAATGCATCCTCTAAACCTGCTGCAAAAAATACCATGAGTTCAGTCTTGGATCGAAGAAAAGAGCAGATTGAACAACTCAATAAAACAAACTGAAAAGGTGAAATTGGGTGCTCAACTTCTTTATTTCATCTACAGGTGTGTTATTACACTATTCAAAATAGTCTGCATTCAAACTTAACAAATTATCTATTGTTGGCATGCGTATACAGTCGTGTTTTACCATACTCTCGAGGACAATGCTTTGTGTTTCCCTCTGTCGCTGTAATACAACACTCTCCCATAGACTAAGCACACAAACTACGTACAGAGGACTGTATCCAACAAAAGACCCAACTCCCAAGGACTGAAAGGATTTGTTGTTCTCCCTTTGTGTCGGTCCTCCGGGGTTATGCACATGTAGAACATGACAATTGACATACTTACTGCCTTTAATTTTGATATGCCACTGTGTACACCCATTGTAAAGTCAGTCAAAGCTTTATCAGAGCAATTAAAAGACTTGCCAGTCATTTCTACTTTCCCTTACCAGGTTAAGTTTGTAACATTTTGGATTGACCTGATGAGTGGCGTAGGGTTTTGACAATAACCAGTTCGGTATTTCAACAGCGCATGCGCACAATGATACATGTATGGGTCACAGTTATTCGGAATAATACTTTAATAGAACGTTCCAAAGGCACAAGAATGCGGGTGCACAATGCTTGCATGTAAGTACCAGCAGAATGGGCGTGTGTGAAACATCGCGTAACATCGCGTAACGTTACATCAGCAATGTTATCCTGCATGACCTTGGGTCATTGAAATAACACAACTGGCTTATTCACACAAAGTACAACCTACAATTCACCAATGAATAACTCTGAGTATACAGGGTGACCCCCAAAAAATGCAACTGTGATCTGTGAATTTTTATGTTTTTGGATATTTCAGATTAAAGCTGAGAGTTTTTTTCTTTCAAATCCTGAACAAATCATAAAAACAGCACATTTGAATGTTTAAAAAGTTTGGGTTGTTTTAAAACTAGTAAAGACCAATTTTATCAGATGCTATGAAGAATGAAGCTATCACCGAAAATATTAGTGGTGCTACGATATGCGAGTGCATGTAATTTGTCAATAACATTTACAAATATCAAAAGTCAAATATAGTCAAATTTAAAGCAAGTTTTACTCCTAACCTTTTACAACAGTTAGGATGAATACTACATATTGTCTGTACAATTTGGACAGCTTTGCTTCAAATTCAAAATGATATCTGCATAATTAGGGCATCCCTTTTTAAATCTTTGGTTCTCATTTTGAGCTCCAGACCCAAGACTTTTTTTTGTTACCACCGATGCTGTGTACATTGTATAACCCCCTCTAAAGGGAAGATACAACATTTGCAAACATCAAACAACGAAATGATCAAATTATCACAAAATATCTCACTGGATTGTGAGGGGATGACAGTCGAAAGCATCCTGTAAAGTTGTGGCTCCTGGTGTGCTGACATTTTCAAGAAATTTTTTTTTTCCCAACGCTAGTTGGTCGACCAGCATTTGAGAAAACTGGCTTTTTTCAAAAAGTGCTCCTAATTTTCATATTTAGTTTGTCTGCATTTTTTTTTGCAATTGATTATACACCTGTGAAGACTACAGCCTGCTAGACTGATTCTCTGATCTTACAATTCCCCAAAGTCTATTGCTCCGTTTCATCTTGCATCTTGATTGGGGTCAGGGAACCAGACTACAAGAATACGATTGGTCTTCTTGCTTTTTCCAGCATCTACGAACCCAAAACGTGAAACAAGTCAGTGTAACAGTATTTGCTATAACATACTAATCCTCCAAATCCATTTGTTTCTGAAAATTGCAGCAAAAGCAAATTTCGTTCATTCCCTTTAACCTCAAAAAGGTCATTGTGTAAATGTAGAATCCACATTTTTTCTGCCCCTGTTACATGTAGATCTGACATTTTAAAATGCAATTGTCCTCCAAGAGAGATTATGAATAGTCAACCACCTACTAAACAAATAAAAACAATTGAAGTCATTCTTCATAAAATTTACTTGAATGACAAATCACAGAGTGCCAAGGTAACAGGGACGGGAAAAAGTCACACTTTGGACTATGTAAATCTAATTTAATTAATTAAGGACAAATACATGTATGTTGAAGTTTTTCTAATTGAGAACATCGGTACTACATGTACATGTAATTAAAAAAAAAATGAAGTAACTTTGTGTTCGCAGATTGCATACACATACAAATGCATTACAATACAATATATTTACAACACATGTACATTATTTTGCATCCAGTAATTTCAATCATTTGGCTGAAAACATATTAAAGAATAGTGTTCTTAGAAACACATATTTTAATTGCGCAGAAATTCATACACAGTTTGCATTAAATTCACAATAAAGTTTCATAAATTTTTTACAAATTTGTACATGGTCAACTTACTACCAGTACATGTACACATGTAGCTGAAATGACTATACTCTTGCAATATATACCAATTTACAAAATTTAAAACCCAATTTCTATAACTAGGACAAGATGTGCTGTGATCACTGTTTATGTTTCTATAGCATATTCTCTAGCTTAAAGGTGTGACATACTGTACTTTAATCGGCACACTGAGCAGTGACATACATGTACATGTAAAGTAAATATAAACAGTGCACTGTAGGCAACATTGATATTTCGCACACAGGGAAATCCCCCAACATTGCAATACTACAATATTACACAAATGTACATGTGGACATTCATTTGGATTTTCTTTCCAAAGGGCCCACTCAACTTAATTTTTTTTAATGCAATCCTTGAATTTAACACTATTTTCAATTTTCGTTTTGCCATTTACAAGGGTATTTTGGTGCATTTGAGGTTTTTATGCTAAGGCAAAAACAAAAAGAGAAAAAAAAGGTTCTGCTTCCAATTACATGGCATTCAAAAATAGGGTAAAAGAGTAAAAGGTACTTGTAGTAATAGGGTAAAACGTAGAAATTTACATAGTTTTGGGTGTTTTTTTTGCTCATTTTTCCCATAAAAAAATTAGGGTAGGGGCTGTCAGAATAGGGTATCGATAGGTAGGAAAACTGGAAGCAGAATTTTTTTTTTTTTGGCATAAGGCAAATATACATATATTATGTCATTTCAGGCAGAAATCGTTAGGCAAAGTTCATGAAGTTAGGCCGGTTGATCGTCCCTGTCTGCTTCCTTTTTTGAGGCTGCATCAAGTGTTTTTTGTTGTTGTTGTAAATTTCAGGCATAATTTTTTTTTAAAGATGTTTCAGATTTTCAGATGCTTCTAATAGCTTTACTAATGTTCAATAAGTACTTAAGGAAGGTTTTGTGGTATCAACTACATGAAGTAGGCAACTACCCAGAACTATGAAATAAAAAGGGCCTCCTCCCTTTTAAGGCACATATATATGTAAGCTAAATATGGCTATTTTAGCCTATTTCTCAATAAAAAATAAAAAGGCCCTAATCCTCCTTTTTTTTGAAAAAAAACCAAACCCCTGAACGATCAACTGGTGTTTTTTTTTTATCTTGGCCTTAAGCTATTTCAGCACAAAAAGTTGGCAAAACTTGGATTTTTTTGCCGTCATAAATTTTCTTTTCTTTGGTGATTCGTTGTTTTTTCAGTACATGGCAGTAAGCCAATGAGCAAATCTTTCTCACAAATGATTTCAATGAGCAAAGTTTTTGGTTTACAATTTGCACAGAAAGCCACTTAACTGAACAGTGTCTTCCTGAAATGACATCACAGCAACAGAGCCCTCTGTTGTCCGGAAAAGCATGGAACATTTTAAATATTTAAAGAAGTGCACTTTTGAATAAAATTCACCAAAAAGGGATGTCAAATAGCTTTAATACATAAATAACAGGAGTAGAAAGTTGCACATAATAGGCTATGTTTCTAATTATAATTCATTTCATGACCCTTTAAATGATAAAAGCACTTCTAGAATATTGTTTCATCTTTTACATATTATAACGATGTTTCATCTTTTACAATGCAAAACGACTGTTTCATCTTTTACTATGCATACATGTAACGTCTGAAACACAAACATGAACTTGCAGTAAAAGTAGGTCAACCTGAGATTTTCGTTTTCACAAAGAGCCACATACATTTTGGCCCCTTGAATGCGTACAAAAGCTATTGCACGGAAAGGCGTAAAAGTAGGTTAGCCTGAGATTTTTGTTTTCACGAAGAGCATATCTTTGTTACATTCTCAGCTGCGCACACGTACACACGC